AGAAACAATATATTTTAGCATTAAACTGATGTTGCAACATGAAAGAACCGTTATCTGCTGACGTCCATGGATGAATCAGATGTTAATTTTAGTATAACCTTTAAATTTGTTGATTGATTGAGACAAATTAAAGAAAAGTGACTCAATTGAAATTTTCACAAAAGTTAAATGACTAAAAATGCAACAAACTTTTTAAGTTGGGTTATAATTGATTTAAAAATATGAAGCCGTAGCTTTAACTCTCCCCATCATATTCGTTACAGTTTTTATTTTTCTTCAAAACATCCCGCTGCCGTCAGCCATCGCCACCCACTACAAGTGTATGTATAAAAAATCGATGTCGTTAATTTGTGTATTTGCACAGGTCTGTGAAAATGTGTGAATCCAGGCGTCACCAAAAGAAACTGTCGAATGCAACATGGGGTAATAGTGGACAATGTAGTCTAAAAATGTTCAATAGTTCTTTTGGATTATTTATAGAATGCAACATCCATTCATGGAAGAACTTTTACAATTTCCATGATGAAGATAAAGAAAAATATATGCACCCAACGGATTTCTAGAGTTTGGTAGTTAATCAAAATTTTGTTTTATTTTTTGGAAATAAGTGGAGTCCACAATTAATGGAGCGATAAGCACCACTCTTTTAAGATGAAATCTATGTGAAAATGTATGGTATTAGCGAATAATATGTTGGATAATTGTTTCAAAAACTTCACAAAACAGAATCTCGGATTGAGTACCGGATATGTAGAATATATATCGTATTTGCAGTAAGCTTGAACACTATATTTTCTCATATCATTTTGCATACAAAATGACTGTAACAGATTTAATTAATATAACAGATTCATAAACGATTTATAAATTTAAGCAAATAATTAAACGAGAACTGTAAAATACTAATATGCAAAACGAATAATAAGAAGGAACAAAAAAAAGAACTTTTAACTCGAGACCTGTGTTACACACAGTTTTCTTAAAACAGATTCTCCCCCTCATCGTACGTGCTTGAGGTGTAATTTGAGTATCTGCTTCCCAGGATACAACGGTGAAACGGTAGAATCTGAGCACCACAGATTTTACTCGGCAAACTGAGTTAGTATCAACTGTTTCAGAAAATGAAAAGTCGGTCGAAAAATAAAATAAAATGCAGGAAAACGTAGAAGGGCCAATTTTTTGTCAATCCGGTCAGACATTCGTGTACTCAGGTCTCGTGCCCGCACACAAGTTCAAGGTCGAATGCCTATTGCGGTCTGTGATTTGCACCCCCCCTGCGCGTGCAAGTGGAGAGAGCCTCTATGCTACACATGATTACATCATTGTAAAGTGTAATCCTTTATAAAGTGGTTTTAGTTTTCATCCACTTCCTATGTGGAACAAACTTAATTTTTAATTTTCCCACCAACATAAACTCCTTTCACATGGCATACCTTGAGCTTCAATTTCTCATTCACCTGACTATCATTTTTGACAAGTATATGATTTCGATGTACTCACGGAGTAGAACACAAATGAACTTTCATCTTACAAAATAGCCAAATTTTTGACAAGTAAGTATATGATTTCGATGTATTCACGGAGGAGAATACAAATCAGCTTTTATCTTCCAAAGTAGCCAAACGGGTCCCGCTCAAAATTCGTGCCAGAGTCACCCACTAACTCAATTTTTCCAACATAATAAAGTCTCAAAATGTTAAATAATTCTCTTGGATTATTTATAGAATGCATTGAAATAAAAAACTTTCACAATTTTCACGATGAAGATAAAGAAAAATCTAAGCACCCAATGGATTTCTTGAGTTGGGTATTCAAGCAAATTTTATTTTAATTTTGTTTTAATTTTGGAAAGAAGTGGAGTCTTATACACTAATTATTATTTTCAAAGAAACATCTTATTTTGCAGGAAACTTTTATTTCATATAATATACACAGTTACAATTATATCAAGCGCCTTATTACAGCCACCTCCCAATCTTTTTTATGCATTTAAATTGGCCATGGGAAAAAATGTGATCTTTACTTTGGTAGCAATGCTTTGTTTATTTATCTACATTATTTGTTTACATTATCTACGTTGTTGCATCTCTCAATATATCCATCGATGATTATGCTCTTCTAGCCTTCGAATCTCAAATTCTTGATCCAAATAAAATCTTGGCAAAATATTGGTCACGAGGAACCTATTTCTGTTATTGGATTGGTATTACTTGCGACACAAGACACTAAAGAGTTAGAGGCATATACATCTAACAAATATGGGCTTGCGAGGTACTATTGCAAAAGAGGTCGGTGAACTCTCTTTCTTGAGATCCTTGATTATTAGCAATAACAATTTCCAAGGACTTATCCCTCATGAAGCAATGAGGGAAACAGTTCCGTTCCATCAAGTTTTTGATTTCGATGTTAAATCTCTCTCATAACATACTCAATGGGGATATTCCTAACAAAATTTTCAACATCTCTTCTTTGATAGAAATTGGTTTAAAGTCTCTCTTGGAGGCTTCCCATGGATATCTATAACAATCTTCCGAAGCTAGAGAAGCTAAGAATTTCATGGAATCAAATAAGTGTAAACATTCCTCGAAGACTGGGAACATGCACAAATCTTGAACTACTTTCTCTATCTTACAATAATTTTGCTGGAAGCATTCCAATAGAACTTGGAAACTTGTCAAAGCTTCAATTTCTCTGTCTTGGAAGAAATAATTTGATAGGTATGTTTAAAGCGTTGTTCTTATGCATACATCTTCTAGGACACTAGATAATGCTTTCCAAGAATTGTAAAAATGGACCAATATTTTTGTTCCTTTACATCATAAATATTTCTAGTTATCTGCATGTTGCTGCCCATGGAATATGTCCTCGTACAGAGTTACACTTATTTTTACCTTGGGCCCTCTTATTTTTAGCTCACTTAGTTTGAAACATACTCTTGCATTAAAAATTGTACAATTTTTTTTTTCTAAATTTTTCTTAGAAAGGGGAACATTATGCCTTAAAATTTTAAAAATATTGTTTCGAATAGTATTTTTTGGAGAATATGTGGTTAAAAGTAGGGAAAAGTTATGAGTTTATGTATAGAATATTTTATTGTATAAATGTGTGGTTGAATATGATCTTATAGTAAAAATTAAAATAAATTAAAGGATATCAAACGGGCTATACCATGTTATATGGAGAGAGACACGCATTAGACGAAATATTCCTTTATCATCTAGATCTAAGGGAGCATAGAATTATTTCACATATTCTGCAATTAAATAATATTTTTTGTTTATATTAGATAAGTATGCATGCACAACTCATAACTCATCCCTTAACAAAAAAATAAAAACACAAACTGGAAGCAATAATCAATATGAATTGCAGGTACAATGAATAAAATTTGAACTTTTTTCCTTCGCCAAGGGTGGAATGATCCATTGTACATAATATAACAATAATAGGCTGGCAAAATTTTTAGCAGAAGGCAATAATATCAATCACTTCTTTTGCTCATATTCATTTGGGTAAATGTCAAACTGAGTAGTTGGTAAGGGGATACTACGTCAGTGTGTGTTTGAGTCTTTCAGATTATTGACTTTAGATTAGGTGGTAGTTCTTTTCCTTCATTAGATCTATTTCATATTAATTTAACACTTCGATATTTTAAAATCGACATATTTAAATGGATTGACGGGAAATATTCCAAAGGAACTTGGAAACCTATCATCACTTGTACATTTAGAATTGGGTGAAAACGGTTTCACTCGTACGTAACTAGACCTCCTAAATTTATTTTATATATTATATCTATTTCAGTTTGTCATATAGTGTCTTACCAAAGGTTTATACCAAAATTCTAAATTTAAGCCTCCATTTGGAAAAAAATTATAAATCATTTATATATGGTTAAACTTGATTTTCACTGACACACTCCAACGACCAAAATGTACTATGCACCGCTCATTTTTTTCTATTTATAAATTCTTCCTAAACAGAGGCTAAAATGGTTGGATATGACAACGATTTTTATGCTAATGGAAAATCTAAATGAACTTTAGGTTATCACCTAGTCATTTTACACTCTTGACAAATTTGTTTTGGCTTGTGATGAAGATGGATATTGATAGACTCATTTTAATATTTCTTGGATTAAATATCATTACTATCACTGAACTTTCCAAATGTATAATTTTAGAAGTTCTCCAAACTGTCACTAGACTTCATCAAATAGTTTTAGTTTCCACTGAACTTCCAAAGTTCTCCGAGTTTCTACTCAGTTTATTAAAATGTTATTTCATTCTTCACTTGATCTATCACTCACTATTTTAAAATTTAATGGAACTCTAAGAATCAAGGCGTTTATAGGTTTATTCTTCAATCTTATGAAATAGTGTTCGTTTGAGCTGCGGGAGCTTGTTTATTTAATAATTTGATGTTCTAAATTTATTTAAACATTTGTCATTCTAAAATCAGTCTTATTTATTTGTATATATTAAAGCCAATAATATTTGAATCCAATAATTTGATATATTAAATAAATAGAATTGTCTATGATTCCAATGTTTTTGTTTGACTTTTGAAATTTTAAATATTTGACTTTTGGATTTCAGCTTTTAATATCCTAAAATCTAATTCACTGGATGCATTCCATATGAAATTGGAAACTCTTTGGCACTTCAATTTAATTTTGGAGGTACCTATCTACTACTTATTACTACTTCTAAGTTTCATTTGAGCGTGTTGACAAACACAATATTACATGTACAATTCCATATTCAATTGGCAGTTTATCAAATTTGAAGAAATTGAATATTGTAACAACAATCTTGATGGTCAAATAAGTCAATCCATCTTCAATCTCTCCATGTTGCAAATACTTGATTTTAGAAAAAATAATATCTCTGGCAATGTTCCATTGTCAAATAGCCAATGGGCTCCCTGAACTCCAAGAACTCTATCTTGTTGGCAATCGATTGAATGGAGAAATTCGTGGCTCAATTTCAAATTGATCTATGCTTATAGCATTGGGGCTTAGCTATAACTCGTTCAGTGGACATGTACCCATTAATCTTGGGAATTTACATGACCTAGAATATCTACACTTATCTAGTAATCTCTTGACAAATGATCCTTCAATGCTGGATTTGGATTTCCCAGTTTCGTCAACAAATTGTAGACACTTGAAGAACGTTGTGATGGGTAACAATCTTTTTGATGGAATGCTTCCAAAAGCTTTGAGTAATTTGTCGACTTCTCTTCAAATATTCAATGCTCATTCTTATGGCATCAAAGGTACGATTAAAAGTGAAATTGGCAATATGAGTAACTTGATCTATCTAGAAATGGGAAACAATGAGTTCACAGGAAAAATTTCTGACACGTCGAGTCAATTGAGGACGTTGTAAGTGTTGTCGCTTGATGACAATAACTTGCACGGGTCAATACATGACAACATTTGCAATTTCGTAAATATTTATCAACTAATGTTGGAGAAAAATCAGATCTCTGAACAGCTACCAACTTGTCTAGGAATTCTTGTATCTTTACGAAAATTAAATTTAGCCTACAACTCATTGACTTCAACCACTGATCCACACTATGGACTAAAAAAGAAATGCAAATAATGGACCTGTCATATAATTTTCTCAATGGCTGGGTGGCTCCAGAAATTGGCAGCGTGAAGGGAATGAGAGGGTTATGTCTATCGGGAAATTAGTTCTCAGGTAAGATTCAAAGCACTATTGGACAACTTATGAATTTGGAAAATATAATAATATAAAACAATCGATTGCATGGTCTTATACTCGAGTCTTTCGGTAATTTGAGTTCATTGTGAACGCTGGATGTGTCAAATAACAATCTCTATGGTGTAATCCCAAAGTCATTGGAGAAACTTGAGGACCAAGTGTATTTCGATATTACGTTCAACGAGCTCAGTGGTGAAATACCTAATGGAGGGCCTTTTAAGAACTTAACGCCAGATTCTTTCATAGGCAATAAAGAATTGGGTGGAGCATCTCATTTCAAGGTCAGGCCATGCAAAGATAATACAACTATATCATCAAGCAACCATAGAGTTTTTAAATATATTTTACCATCAATGGCTTTGACAGTAAGTGTTGCCATCATTATTGTTTTTTTGGTAAGATGTAATAATAGTAATTCACCTCTTCCAACACAGTCTAGTTCCACTATTGCCTTCAACTTGAAGAGAATCACGTACTACAAAGTTCTTATTGCTACAATTAAATTTGGTGAAGAGAACCTAATTTTCAAAGGCAGTACTGGTTCAGTGTACAAGGCGATATTTTAAGATGGTATGATTGCTGCTATTAAGGTTTTTAATCTAGATTTGAAAGGTGCAAATAGAAGTTTTGATACAGAGTGCCAAACACTGTACAACATTTATCACAGAAATCTTGTTAAGATAATTAGTAGTTGTTCTAACCTTGATCTTAAAGCCTTGGTGTTGGAATATATGCCTAATGGGAATCTTTCAAGATGGCTGTCCTCGAGCAACTATTTCTTGAATATAGCTCGAAGATTGGAAATAATGATAGATGTGGCATGTGCACTGGACTATCTACATCATGGGTATCCCTCTCGAATTGTCCATTGTGATTTGAAGCCCAGCAACATACTTTTAGATGAAGATATGGTTGCCCATGTTGCAGACTTTGGCATTGCCAAGCTTTTCACAGAAGACTAGAGAGTTTCGATGACCAAGACGTTGGGCACCATTGGATATATGGCTCCAAATGTCAACTGTTTATATATAGAGAAATATTATACACATAATTATTCTTAAATGTTAACTAGAAGTACATTTATATTTCATTTATCATTTCACTTGTTAATTTGAACAAATTTGCCAATTTTGTAGAGTACGGATCGAAAGGCAGATATTTATAGCTATGGGATTACGCTGATGGAAACATTTACCAAGAAGAAGCCAATAGATGATATATGTTTGTTGGAAAGTTCACCATGAGAAGATGGGTGTTTGAATCATTTCCGAATGCAATAATGCAGATAGTAGATGTGGATCTATTAAATGCAGTTCAAGACAATATTTGAGCCAAAGAGAGCTGCTTCAGATCAATCATGGGACTAGAACTAGAATGCACAACTAATTTGTCTGAGGAGAGGCTCAATATGAAAGATGTTCTAACATGGCTCAAGAAGATTAAAACTGAAATTTGTTAAAGCATAACTCAGGTGGACTAAGATTGAAGGGGTTTGTTTCTTTGGCAAATTGATTTTTCCATCTAACAAAAACCCGAAAAGATGATTATTTGAAGCTTATTATTTGTTGATACTACAGTAATCTCGGCAATCCTCTGAAGATTTTTAAGCTCCGTTTGTCTTCCGTTGTGTTGCGGTATGTTGTAGTAGTGCTATGGCCCCAAAAACTGTACAATAAAGTAATTTACAAGATGAATAAACATTTTTATGAAGTTACTGTAAAATAAATTAAACGACATTTATGTATTTGGTTAATTTGCTGTGAGATATAGTGAATGAAATCTCAATATTTTCACGAGGTGAGAATATCATTGCCTTATGATCATATTCCCTTCATTTGCCCTCGACAATTTCTTAGAGTAAGTATCCATACAATTAATATCATTTATGGTAGATGTTTATAGATATGGGATTATGGTGATAGAAATGATTACTAAGAAGAATCAAACAGATGATGTTTGTTGGAGAGTTCACCATGAGGAGATGGGTGTTTGAATCATGAAATAACGCATACAGTGGATGTGGATCCAGTATTTGCAATTGAAGATAATATTCGAGCTAAAGAGAGCTCACTACAACAAAAATAGCATTTTGCAATGTTTAAAAGACGTTGCCTAAGACTTGTTGCAACTTTCGAACGTATGTTGCAAATTTCGATGTTGCCGTAGAGTAGAAGGATACGGCAACCATTTTTTTAACGTTGAAAATAACCAATTTGCAACGCTTTTTGAATATTGCTAATAAACTTTTTGGCAATATTTTTTTAGCGTTGCTAATAACCTTTTTACAACATTTTTTTTAGTATTGCTAATAATCTTTTTGCAACGTTTTTAAATGTTACCTATACTTATCCTTATTTTTTTCACTGTTGCCATTAATGTTTTAGCAACATTCACTGAACATTGCCGTTTCCTACCTTATTTAAAAAAAAAAAAGAAAAGAAAGAAAGAAAAATTACTACATATATTGTTATATTTAATTATATTATTTTAAATATATCAAACCCATTTCACAATAGTCTTTAAATTTATTTATGCAATAACAATAAATAATAAATTCTTCATCACAAATCCTTTTCTTACAATCCTCTTAGACAGAATAAAATTAATCGTATAAAAAAAAGACAACTTAAAACTAAAGTTTATGCACAAATTAAATTAACAAAAAGAAGATAAAGTACATTAATAGAAAATTCCCAACTACAAATGTCAAATGCTCATTCCATTCAGAATTGATATCCATCTTTATAACACGATGCTTCAACTTCTGCATAAGACATTAACA